GCGGGCCTGTCCTCGACCCCCTTGTCCTTCCAGCGCTGCGCGCGCGGCGGGTGGGGGCGCTCGCTGCGCTTCTCACGGTGAGTCCGCCTTCGGTTCCTGAGCGCCTCTTTAACTTCTCCCGCCTGAGCCCCCTGAGAGCACTTCGGCTCGCCGCGCGCTGCGTTCGAGCGCGCCCCGATCCGCCGGGGCGTCTCTGCCGCGCCGGCCCTGGAGCGTCTCGTCCGCGACGTGGCAATCCGGCAGGCCGCGCCCGCGCGCGCCGTTGCCCCGCGCCATTTCTCCGTTGTCTTTTACAGGCCGGTGCCCGAGACGCCCGTTGCTAGCGGCGCCGGCGCCGACCCCCTACGCCCCCCGATCAATTCGGTTGAAATTCTGGCGCAGAAGCTCGGGATCGAACGGCCCATCGCAGCAGATGAATTTGCCTGGCGGATGGCGCCACGTCAGATCTCTGTTGCACTTCTTCCCGCAGACCATCTGCTCCTCGTCAGATAATCCCTTGCTCGCGATGCCCCTGGTCTCGACTGGAACAGAACATTTTCATCAGCGCCCAGACATCTGCGTCGTCGCCCCGCCCATATGTGCCCCTCCGCCACCTGCCTGCCCGCGCAGATGCGGCGCGGCGCCGCGCGCTTCCATCTCCTTCACTGCCGTTTTGTCGTCTTCCCACGCCGCCTTCACCTGTGGACAGGGCAGGCGCGCAGAGCGCGGCTGCGCGATGGGCACGTTCCCCGCTCCCTCCACCCTGCCCTCGGGAATGCAGGCGCGCGCCTTGCGCGCCGGACACGCGCGACTGCCGCGGCCAAGCCGCGCGTGAAAATGTGGGCCCCAGGGCTGACGCGGCCTTCTGGCGTCCTGGCCATCTCGGCGACTTCTTGTTCGCCGCGCAAACCTTGCCGCGCTGGCGCGCGCGCGATGCGGGCCGCGTGAAAATCGCGGGCCGCCCGAAAATCGCGCGCCGCGGGCCGCGGGCCCACTCGGCCCCCGGGCCCCGCCCCACCGCCGTTGGCGCAGCTGGGGGGGAGTCGTTCGTCAACATCTCCCGTGAAGAACCACTCAACGTCGAACTGAATGCCCCCCCGCACTCCGCCGCTATCAACGCTGCATTGGGAGGCCCAGTCTGGGGCCCCTCCCGGGCCCCTCTTGGGGCCCTCTCGGAGCCTTCCATGGGGCCCCTCGGGCCTCCTAACCGCAATCTCGCATCTCGAACCTTGAGAGGGCTCCGACAGGGTTGCTTCCCGGCTTGATTTTGAAGAAAACCGCATTACGTCGAACTGCGAGCCGCCCCCCATCCCACCCCGCCCCAGCCCCGCACTCCGCCGCCACGAGCGCGGCTGGGCGAGGGGGGGGGGGGGGGATTTGGCTTCCCTCGTGGGAGAACAAACACATCCAACTGCAAGCACCCCCGCCCTCCCAGCCGCGCACATATCGGCGGAGCGGCGCGGGGAGTCGCAGTCCGATGTTGGGTAGCTTTCCATGCGAGAAACCGAAGACCGACACTCCTGGAACACTCCCAGGTCCCGAGAGCCCCTAGGGAGCTCCAAGAGGGACCCAAGGCCCCAACTGGGCCCCAAGAGGGGCTGCGGCCGCGCTCATAGCGGCGGAGCGAAAAGACCCACAATTCGACGCTGCGCGGTTTTCCATGGGACAAACTAGAAAGCGACTCCCCACCCCAGCCACGCTGATGGCGGGCGATTACAACGTCAACAATCAGCCACTGTGCCCCCTGGCGAGTCGATGCGTGGTAGATGGCAAAGTTTCTCAAGTCTTCTGCCCGCGCCCCCCCCCCTCCCCGCGCTGCGCCGCCACTTGCCGGAAACCGGTCCCACGCAACGCAAGAAACTCGCGCCCTGACGCCACAAGCTTCCGTGTGTTCTAGAGGAGACAACACGCAGCAAACTGACAAGACGGCCCAAGAGGACACCCCCTGAGGTCCACAACGCGGCTCCTAGGCACACATCAGGCGGCCAAGATGACCCCAAGACGGCACACGAGTCCTAAGACGCCGCTAGAAGATCTCAACACGGCCAAAAAAAGACCCCACACTAGAATACGGATCACCCGGAACACGTTCAGCATTCAAATGTGATGCGCGTTCGTGAGATCTGGCGGCGAATACCAACACTGAAACTGTTATACCCGTAGCGTTACGATTTACGTTATATCTATATATAACAGAAGAAGAATAAGAAAGAAAGAAAAAAAAACAAAAAAAAAAAAATAATAATAAAAAAAAAAAAAAAAAAAAAACGGCAACGTGCCATGTGAACTCATGCGTTACCCAACAAATTGAATACTGAAATGTTGAAAAGTATTTGCTATCACATTTCAGCCGTTACATCAAAAACCAAAAACATGAATGTGCGGGTCATTTCAACTTGGTCCAAGCTATTCTGCACAAGCTGGGCACTGCTCCGAATGCGCAGCAAACAAACAGTTGCTGTTCATGCGAACGGTGATGAACCTGTGGAAATTTGCGACGTGAGGACGCCGAGCCAATTAATATGTATGGATAGTTGAACAGTTGGTGAGCGATGCGTTGTCCACAATATTGGCGGATACGCAATGAGCAACCTGGAAACTGTTCATGCGCAGAGCAAATATGTGTATGAACAGCGAGTGCTCATCACTGTTCAATTGTAGGCGCATGGAGAAGTGGCAACAATTAAACCCAAAATGTGGTCAAACAACGCGTGCTTGTGGATTGTCGCAAGGTTTCACAGGCTTCCGTGCAAAATAGTAACTGTTGAAATCAAGCACCTCAATGTATAAATAAATATGTTTCTTTTCTCATGCGGGCATGGCTGACTGCCAGACGGCAATTGTAACACGGCTTGTTGAAACATGATGTGTACCCAACACGACACATCAAATTGTGTATTCACACGAGTTTGTGTGACTATGTAACGATGGCCAACTTGCTCTTCCGCAGTTACATGACTGTGCGATCACTATAAAAAACTGCTATACATTTAAACAACTTCTTTCGCATCGAAATTGAAATCTTAACGAATCCCACCAGCCCTCTGGGCGTCGGTGGTTTAGGGCGTTTCCTCTTCCACCCCTCCCTCTTCCCCTTCGGGGAGGGGTTTACCCCTCCCCCTACCCCCTCCCCACTGACCTGGACAGGAGGGGCGGGGAGCGGTCAGAGCGTCCAATATGGCCCAGGACGGCCTCAGAGAGCCCAAGATCGCCTCCAAGATGGCTCAATATAGCGCAAGATGCCTGCAGATGGTTCAGAAGACGCTCCAACACGTTCCAAGACCGCTCCAAGATGGTTCTAAGTGCCCACAAGAGCATCATTAGAGTGCCCTCAAAAGGCCGAAATGCCTCAAAACCCTAAGGAACATCAACGTTTTTGGTGTTCTCACGTGTTCGCTTCCGAAGCCCATCCGAGGCCTCAAGATGGCGCCAAGATGTCCCAACTGGGCCCCAACAGGGGCCCACGAGAGCCTCAAGACTGCCTCAACAGCGTCCAAGAGCGCTCCAAGACCGATCCCAGAGGGGTCCAGGAAGCGATTTTAGACAGTCTGGAGGGGCAGCGCTAATTAAAGCTCTGCTCTTCTTTGGTACATTTGCTCCAAGATGCCCCCCCAGAGCGCCCCGATGGCGTCTACAAGGACCCCAGACGCCCAAAAACTGCTTCAAGAGCGATCCAAGAGGGGTCCAGGAGACGATTTTTGGAGCTCCTGGGGGGCGAGCCAAGTTGAAGGACCCTCCTTCGTTGATCGATCTCCTCCTAAATGGCTCCAAGAGACGTCTTGGACTCTCCTCTTGGGCCCTGCGCGCGGGCGGGCGGAGCGCCGCCCGCGCGCCCGCAAGGCCCAAGAGCCCACCAAACCGTTCGAAGATACCTCCAAGACGCCACCAGGGAGGAGGAAGAGGCGGAGGAAGAGGAGGAGGAGGAGGAGGAGGAGGAGGAAGAGGAGGAGGAGAGGGAGGAGGAGAGGAGGAGGAGGAAGAAGGCGGAGGAGAAGGAGGAAGAGGGGGAGAAGAACAGCTGCCGATCATCGGCGCTCTTCGTTCGAGTGCCTGGTGTAGGATGGGTTGGTGGGGATACGCGAAGCGTCAAGAATTACAAACGCGGGCGTCCTTGATGACGTACTTATGTGCTACGCTCAAAACCAAGGGGTGGTATGCGTAGTATACCGAATCGGTTCATATCGGTTCATAACTGTTTTATGTGTGTTTATCATTGTCGGCCGGGTGTCGAAATACATCCTTGTTCAGACAACTTTCCAAACTCAAACATATGGTATGTTCTAACCCAAATCAGTTTCGTCACACAGCTATGGAACACTTTGACATGTTGACGTAACATGATGCTCATGTTTCTTCCAAACGAGTGCACGCGGTGTTGCGAGGATCCTAAAACTATGTCCTTGGCCTCACACAGCCTGATTCATGCTGGTAGCACGAAGTTGCTTCTCATGTGAACAAGCACTTCAGCGATGATGCCAAGCGAATTCATATTTCAAGAAAAAAACAATCTCAGGCATATTTTTGACTTGCGAATGATACTCGCTTGGGCGTTGCTCATGTAAGTTGATCCGATTACGCGGCGACTGCGGGCGCAATCACTCCTGAACAGATGCGGTCGATATATAAAGAACATGTTCTCCACTGGATGTATATGATCCGATGGTAATGACAACACACGTATTAACGACGAACGATATTCCGAATGTGAATACGATGGCTATGTTGTGATGTGAAGGTATACGACCTCGTGCAAACGTGGTAGGGAACAAACACTGCAATATCGTTGGAAACAAAGCAAAACAAAACTCCCCCAACCAATCCCATAACGTGTTGTTTTTCGCTGGAGCTGCATGCGAAAACGGAAAACACAATCGGCCCTGTCTCCCCGGCCCACCTTACAACACTAATGCAGAGAGAAAGGATATATAGAGAGAGAGGGAGAGAGAAACAAAACAAAGAAAGAAGAACTAGAGAAATAGATGGAGACCACGAGCCACCAACCCGGGTCGGGCGGGGCCCACCTCGGCGATGCCCTCGCCTATGTCCGCGAGCTTGAACTGCTTCACCGCCAGGCGCTCTGGCGAAGTCCTCAGCCCTCGCGCCTCGCGTCCGGCTGTCTCCCCTCCCTCCAGGAAGACTCGAAGAGGCAAAATCAGTGATTTTCCTTAGGTTTATGAAGAATATTGACATTTGCTTCTTTTCGGTCATCCGACGGCTCGAGACGGCCCAACAGCCCCTAAAGATCGCCCCAAGATCGCCCAAGACGCCTACGCGGGGCGGGCGGAGAGTGTCACAACGACACCTCTCGCGCCCGGGAGCCAAGGGCGGGGCACGCGGGTGCGGCTCGGCAGAACCGGCGCGGCCCGCGCCAGACTCGGAGCCCTCGACCCGCCCAACGTACTGAAACACGCCGAGCGTGGCGCAGGTCAAGGGGGAGCCGCAACTGCTGCGCGCAGCCAACTTCGCACTCATGCCCCCGTGCCCAGGGCCGACTTCGCACGAAATCACCTCAACCCGATCACCCCGATCCCAAGTCAACTCCAAATCCCATGCACTGGCCCCAACCCTGAAACCTATCCGCACACGTAAACGCTGCCCCTGATACTCTAGTCCTTAACGCCCGCATCCCAAGCCATAACCCAAAACACTACCCCTAATCCTGAACCCTGACATTGAAGCTGAATCCAAAGTACAAGACCAAACACCACTACGCACTCCGACCCTAACCCCGGCCCCCCCCGGTGCCAGCGCGCACTCTTTCCATAAACGTAGTCAGGCAGCCTCTCAGCTCCAGGAGGAGGAGGAGAAGAAGGACGGAGGAGGAGAGGGAAGAGGGAGAGGAGAGGGAAGAGGGGGGAGGAGGGGGAGAGCGGCAGCAGGGAAAGGAAGAGGAGGAGGAAGACGAGGGAGGAAGGAAGGGGGGATGAGGAGCGACCTTCAAACGACCCCCTGTGATTGCACTGGAACCTCCCCTGCCTTCCGCAACCAAGGGGGGGGGGGGGGGGGGGGCGCACCCTTCCGCAGCCAAGAGAGGAATGCAACCCACCCACCTGCTTCACCAGAACAAAGAGACGTCCCTGGACGAAGGCAGGATGAGGATGCATCTGGATGAGGATGAATCGAGAATCTCTGGCAACCAGCAAATCCAGAAGACGTACCGGATGCCGCGGCCCTTCTTAGAGCGCACCGTCAACGACGGCGACGCCGACGTCAACAACAATGACGACGACAACAGCGACGACGATGTCAACGACCACGACGACGACGCCGACGGCGACGACGACGACAACGATGACGGCGATAACGACGGCCACGACGCCAACGACGACGCCGTCGCATCCGCCAACGACGACGACGATCCATCGCTCGGGCCTCAAAGTGCTGTTCGGGAAGGAAAGACGCAGCGACAACGGCGACGACATCGACGACGACGGCGGCGACGACAACGATGGCGGGGCGCCTGCGAGGAGCCGTGCTGGAGGGCGGCGGCGGAGGGGCGCGTCAGCGCCACGCCGAAAGCGCGCTGGCGGAAGCAGGGGGATAGGCCGCCACGGGCAGGGGGAGATGGAGGCGGGCCTCCTCCTCCTCCTCCGCCTCTTCCTGCGCCCACAACCCCCCGTCCGCCTTCTACTCCTGCTCCTCATCCTCCTCCTCGTCCTCCTCCTCCGCGTCCGCTTCCTTTCCTCCTCCTCCTCCCCCTCCTCCTCTCCCTCCTCCTCGTCATCAGCATCAGCATCATCATCATCATCAGCAGCAGCATCATCATCATCATCATCACCATCACCATCACCATCACCATCATCATCAACATCATAATCATCATCATCATCATCATCATCATCATCATCACCATCATCACCATCATCATCATCATCATCATAATCATCATCGTCATCATCATCATCGTTATCATCATATCCATCATCATCAGCATCATCAGCATGATCATCATCAGCATCATCATATTCATATTAATCTTCATATGCATCATCAACCTCGTCACCATCGTCATCACCATCGTCAGCATCATCATCATCACCACCATCAGCATCATCATCACCATCATCATCATCATCGTCATCGGTATCGTCATTACCATCATCACAATGAGCATAATCTTCATGATGAGAACTATCAGCAGCAACTGCAGCATCATCATCATCCATCATCATCACCATCACCATCACAATTAACGTCGTAATCGCCATCGTCATCGTCGTTGTCATCATCAACATCGCCATCGTCATCGACATCAACAATATCATAATTACCAGCCGTCTACTGCAATTCCCTCCTGGTCCTAATCTTCGCTCCCGTTCTACATCTTCCCGTCATCCTCCCCACCTCCTCCTCCTCCTCCTGCTCCTCCTGCTCCTCCTCCTCCTCCTCCTCCTCCTCCTCTTCGTCGACAATGCATTCTCGAAGACGATCCCTGTTACGCCTCCTCCTTCTTCTCCTCCCTGTCCTCCCCTCGCTCCCTTCCATCTCCCCTCCTTTTATTACGCCACCTCCTTCCTCTGTTTCCTCCCCTCGAGTCCTGCTCATCCTCAACTCCCCGTTCCTCGTCGTCCTCAGCACTCCTCCCCGATTCTGAAAACCCGGGAGCGAGAAAGTCGTTCAAGAAACAATAAAACAAATAACAACTACAGGTGTTTGCTTCTAGAGGCCGTCATGGTGGTTCTCTTGAGTCCGTGTTCTGCCAGCCACGCGGCCTCATAGGCTGTGTTGAAGCTATCGCAAGCCAATGCGAGGCGTCTTGGTCCGTCTCGGAGCCTCAAAGGTCGCTGTGTTGCCAACCTGTGCCGTCTTGGGGCCCTAACCAGCTGACCGCGAAGTGGGCTGGGATTCTAGGCTGGGACCCAGTACTCATGATGATGATGATGATGATGATGATGATGATGATGATGATGATGATGATGATGATGATGATGATGATGCTGCTGGTGCTGGTGCTGGTGCTGGTGATGGTGATGATGATGATGATGTTTTTCCCTAACCACCCTGTAATGTTGGGTCCTCGTTTTGAAGAGACAACGCCCCGCGTTCTCCTCCCGCCTCCTCCCTCCCATCCGTGCCTCTGCCCTCCGCATGTCCACCATTTCGGTACAGCTCTCACACGTTTCATGGCCCCAGAGGAAGCTCCAGGGGAGGGTCCAATGGGAGTGTTCGCATGGCACCACCGCGCCCAGTTCGGAACACCCCTCACACGGTTCGTGGCCGCCTAAGGAACTCCGCCGAAGACTCCAGTGGATGCGTTCGCATGGCACCACCGCGTCCTATTCGGCACACCCTTCACACGCTTCGTGGCCCCATAGAGAGCTCCACCGAATGCTCCAGTGAGAGGGTTTGCATGGTACCACCGCGCCCAGTTCGGCACACCCCTGACACGGTTCGTTGCCTCCACCGACGGCTCCACTGGAAGGGTTCGCATGGCACCACTACATGCCATTCGGCACACCCCTCACACGGTTCGTGGCCCCATAAGGAACTCTACCGAAGGCTCCGATCGGAAGGTTCGCATGGACAGCTGCGCCCAATTTTGCATACCCCTCTCACGGTTCGTGGCCCCATAAGGGGCTCCACCGGAGGCTCCAGTGGGAAGGTTCGCATGGCACGACCGCGCCCAATTCGGCACACCCCTGACACGGTTCGTGGCGCCATGGGGAACTCCACCGGAGGTTCCAATGGGAGCGCTCGCATGGCACCACCGCACCCTGCTCAGCACACCCCTCACACGCTTCGTGGCCCCATAGGGAGCTCCACCGAAGGCTCAAATGGGAGGGTTCGCGTGACACCACCGCGCCGAATTCGGCACAACCGTCAGAACGGTTCGTGGCCCCATAGTGAGGTCCACCGAAGGATTCAGTGGGAGGGTGCGCATGACACCATCGCGCCCAATTCTGCACACCCATTACCCGGTTCGTGGCCCCATAGGGAGCTCCGCCGGAAAGCTCCAGTGGGAGGGTTCGCATGACACCACCTCGCCAAATTCGGCACAGCCCCTCACACGTCTCGTGGCCCGTAGGGAGCTCCACCGAAGGCTCCACTTCAAGGATTCGCATGGCACCACCTCGCCCAGTTCGGCACACCCCTCACACGGTGCGTGGCCCCATAGGGAGCTCCACCGCCGAAGGCTCCAGTGGGAGGGTTCGCGTGGCACCACTGCATACCATTCGGAACATCACTCTCACGTTTCGTTGCCCCATAAGGCGCTCCACCGAAAGCGGTACCCACAACGCGGTGCTCGAATCTGCATGTGGTTGGGTCCTTCGTCAAGCTAATATTTTTCCAACCTTCCTCTGGTGTTGGGTCCTCGCTTCGAAGAGACAACGCCCCGCATTCTCCTCCCGCCTCTTCCCTCCTCCCATCCGTGCCGCTGCCCTCCGCCTGTCCACCATGCCGGCACACCCTTGACACGTTTCGTGGCCCCACAGAGAGCTCCACCGAAAGCTCCAGTGGGAGGGTTCGAATGGCACCACCGCGCCAAATTCGGCACAGCCCCTCACACGCTTCGTGGCCCCATAGGGAGCTCCACCAAAGGCTACACTGGGAGGGTTCGCATGGCACCACCGCGGCCTACTCAGCACACCCCTCACACGCATTCTGGCCCCATAGGGAGCTCCACCGAAGGCTCTAGGGGGAGGGTTCGCATGGCACAACCGCGCCCAGTTCCGTGTCCCAGAGTGACGTCCACCGAAGGCTCCAGTGGGAGGGTTCGCATGGCACCACCGCGGCCAATTCGGCACACCCCTCACACGTCTCGTGGCCCGATGAGGAGCCCCACCGAAAGTTCCAATGGGCAGGTTCGCGTGACACCACCACGCACAATTCGACACACCTGGTTCGTGGCCCTATCGGGAGCTCCACCAAAGGCTCAAATGGAAGGTTTCGCATGGCACCACCGCGGCCAATTCGGCACACCCGTCGCACGGTTCGTGGCCCCATAGGAAGCCTTAGGGAACTCCACCGAAGGCTCCAGTGGGAAGGCTCGCATGACACCACCGCGCCCAGATCGGCACACCCCCTCACACGGTCCGTGGCCCCATAGGGAGCTCCACCGACGGCTACACTGGGAGGGTTCGCATGGCACCACCGCAGCCTATTCGGCACACACCTCACACGCTTCGTGGCCCGATAGTGAACTCCAACGAAGGCTCCAGTGGGAAAGCTCGCATGACACCACCGCGGCCAATTCGGCACACCCCTGATACGGTTCGTGGCCCCATAGGGAGCTCCAACAAAAGGCTCCAGTGGGGAGGTTCGTAGGACACCACCGCGCCCCATTCGGAGCTCCGTCGGAGGCTCCAATGGGAGGGTTCGCGTGGCACCACCGCGCCCAATTCGGCACACCCCCTCATACGGTTCGTGGCCCCATAGGGAGCTCCACCGCAGGCTACATTGGGAGGGTTCGCATGGCACCACCGCGCACAAGATTGCACACCACTCACACGGTTCGTGGCCCCATACGGAGC